AAAAAAAAAATTCCACCCAGTATTGGGCAATGGCTCTGTTTTGTTTTGTTTTGATTTTCCTGAGACAGGGTAGCCATATATTTAGCACTGGCTCTGCTGAAACTCAATATGTAGATTAGGCTGGTCTTGAACTCACAGAGATCCTACTGCCTCTGCCTCCCCAGTGCTGGGAATAAAGGTGTGCACCACTATATGAACTAGGTAATGGCTTTTGTTTGTTTATTTGCTTGTTTGTTTTAATTTTTGTTTTGTTTTGTGGGGTTTTTTGTTTGTTTTTGTTTTTTGTTTTTTGAGGCAGAATTTTTCTGTGCAGCCCTGGTTGTCCTGGAACTGGATCTGTACTGTAGCCCAGGCTGGCCTCGAACTTACGAAGAGTCACCTGCCTCTGCCTTCCGAGTGCTGGGATTAAAGGCATGTACCACCACCGCCCAGCTGATGACTCTGTTGATAGAGGTTTTCTGCAAAAACATGGACCTGAATTTAATTCCCAGAGCCCATCTAAAAGATCCTCAGCACCTATGAAAAGCCAGACATGGCAGTATATGATCATAATCCCAGCTCTGGGGCCGAAATACAGGGGGATTCCTGGACTCTCTGATGAGCTCCAAACCAATGAGACACCCTGTCTCAAAAGACATAAATGGCATTCCTGAGGATGACATCCCAGGTTGTCCTCCAGCCTCCACAAGTGGTACACACACACACACACTTTTAACAAGAAGTCCTCCTAAAATACTAGTAAGAGTGGGGACTAGAGTGGGGACTAGAGCCAGGTGGTGGTGGTGGTGGTGGCGGCACATGCCTTTGATCCCATCACTGGGAGGCAGAGCCAGGCAGAGCTCTGTGAGTTCGAGGCCAGCCTGGTCTACAAAGTGAGTTTCAGGACAGGCCCCAAAACTACACAGAGAAACCCTTTCTCGAGAAAAAAAAAAAGAGTGGGGACTAGAATAAGGCAAAAGGAAACCAACAATGTTAAGATTTGGGGAAACACTCCAGCCTACGAAAACAGCCTAAAAGTTAAAGGCCAGTGAGAGGGATCAACAGTAAAGACATTTGCCATGCGAGCCTGGTGACCTGAGTTTGATCCCTGGATCCCATGGCATCCGGTGGAAGGAGAGAGGCAAACTCTACAGTCTCTCTCTGCTGACCTCCACGTGCATGCCGTTGCAGGCGTGGTAGGGTACAACACCCCTTCCCCATCATGCAAACACAAAAACTTTAACCATGGCATGCATGTATTCAACTATTCTTTCACTGTAAAACTGTTCATGGAGGGCTTACTATATATGCCAGGAGGCACTGCATTGGCTGCTTTGGAATTAATTCATCAGCTGACCTCTACACAAAAGGATAGAGCATAAGAACCCATGGCTTTCTGGAGCTTCCCCTCTGAGAAGGAATGAGAAAGGCCAGGATTGCTGGGATACAGGGCAAAGGGCAAAGTCACCAAAAACAACCCTGGGGAAATAGGCAGGGGACATGATACAGGGCTTTGAGGTATGCTAGTGTTAGACGTTTTGAATGCATTTTAAACGAGGAAATGAACTTTTACCCCCCTTTAAGATAACTGCTTCAGGATGCTTGTTTATTGGGAGGGGGTAGAGTAAGAAATGAGACAAGGAGTCTGTCCCTGCTTTAAGCAGGAAATGATTGATGTGAGGAGGGTGTGGGTAGACTTACAAGTGGACTAGATATGGGACTAGGTGGTGGTTAGTAATGCCAAGACGATGATCGGGATTGACTCACAAGGTTAGATCTGGATGATTAAATGGTGATGCATTAACTGAGAGAGATGAGGAGAGAAATGGTTAGAAAATTCACTGTTCTCAGC